ACATAGTTATAAGAAAATATTGATATGGATATAAAGAAGCAATCTCAAAGGAGTTAGGTGACTTTAATACCAAGGTAGCAGCAGAAACAGAGCTAGACTCAACCCAGTGCTTTTTCTACCACTCCATTCTGCTAAAGAGTCAGCTAGGTGGCTCAGTGGACAGAGCAGTTGGCCTGGAGTCAGAAAGGCTGGAGTTCAAATCCAGCCTCAGACCCTTACCAGCTGTGTGACCCTGGGCAAGTCATTTTACCTTTTGTTTGCCTGGAGAAGGAAATGGTAAACTACTCCAAGAAAACCCCAGGGACAGCATGATCCATGGGCTCATGAAGAATTGGACACAACTGAACAGCAACACCAAATCTTAAAAACAAAATCCAGACCTCTGATTTCATTGGTGAAGGGAACTCCCTCTCCCAACACAGATCAGCATCTGCTGTGCTGGTTATAATCTAGAAGGACTTAGAAGTGACTTGTCTAAGGTCACACAGCCCTGAGTCTGTCATATATGAGTGCTGAACCCAAGTCTTCATGACTCCAGAGGCAGTTCTCTAGTAACCGTGCCTTGCTGCCTCTTTGACAGATCACATAAGACACTAAGAGCTATTTAAGAAGAGAAGAGGCTGCAGGGCCCAGAGTCAGGAAGACCTCAGTTTAAATCTAGCCTCAGATACTAACTAGATGTGTGACCCTGGGCAACTCACTTAACTTCTATTGGCCTCAGTTTCCTCAACCATAAAATGGGGATAATATTATAGCACCTACCTCCCAGGGTTGTTTCGAGGTTCAAATGAGGTAATGTTTGTAAAGCACTTAGTGCTGGGCCTAGCACATAGCAGGTGCTATTTAAATGCTTATTCCCTTCCCCTTTTTAGAATCTAGGGGCCGTCTGACCCATGTTCTTGGAGGAATTCATATCTAAATGGAGTTGATGAGGGTGAGTTATAGTTAACAGCTTATTTAGCTGGAGAAATGAAGGCTGAGCAATTCAGTTAAGGGCTGTAATCATAAAATGAACACCAGAGGGAGTCATTGAGCAGCAAAAGAAATATTCAGAAATCACTTTGTATACATTTGAGAAGATTGCCCAGTGCTTTAAAATTTGCAAAATGCTCTCCCTCATGACAGCTCTATAATGTAGACAGTGCGAACATCAATATCACCACTTCACAGATGAGGAAACTGAGGCTCAAAGAGGTTTTGTGCGCAGAAGCAATATGGCAAGATGTTGTAGTAGTGTCAAACTCATTTAGAAAAGGCCACTAACCTGAACATAAGGAACCCTGCAAACTGCGTCGTGACTTATAAAGCCACAAATTAGCATTATCCATGTTGTATTATATTTTTTATTTATTTTGTTAAATATTTCCCAGTTACATTTTAATCTGATGTGGCTGCATTCAGGATTTTGCAGGAGGATTGAGGCAGAGAGGCTGACACCTCTGGTGTAATGGATTTGGTACTGGACTTAAAGACAGGAAGTTCTGGGTTCAAATCTTGCCTCTGATGCTCGACAGCTAAATAAGTCTTGGGAAATCATTTTGCGTCTTTGGAGTTCAGTTCCTCTTCTAGGAAATGAGGGGATTGGACTAGATGGTGTCTGAGGTTCCTCCCAGCTCTAATTCTACGATGTTATGATTTGTCCATGGCCAATTGTCCTAGTAAGCATGAGGGGCAAATGGGATAGGTACTGAAGAATCAGGACAAGAGCTCTTTGAGCCTGAGTCAGGTTTGGTTTTCAGTTGAACCAATAGCACCTGCTTGATGACCTCGTTCCTGCCCTGGGAGAATTTCTTGAATTTCTAGTGAAATTCAGGGTTTGGGGTCAGGCAAAGCCACAGCCTGACTTCCACCAGATTATAGCAGTGGGCTGTAGTGGCACAAGGACCCAGTAAGTCAGGGCAGACTGGGTAAAATCCACTTGTGTTCTCTCCAGTATTGGATACATCTTCCCTCATGTCTACAACTTGCCCAGGAGTAGGAGGCATGCTCCTTGCTCCTCATTACCAATTCCAGACCAACATTACTCAGCAACTGCTCCTTTGAGGTTCACTCCATCCATTTATATCACCCTGCCCAGGTCCTAGTTGCTATACCTGTTTTCCTCCACATAAGTCTCTCTTTTTTTCTCGAGCTCAGCACCTGGCTCATGTATTCTTCCCTACCTCCAAACTCTTACTCTCATACTAGGGAACTTCAGGATATATATTGATATGAACACTCTGGTGTCTCAGTTTATCTGTTTTCCCAAATTCCATGACCTGTGCTTCTTACTTTACCTCAATGGTCATTGGACAAGCTATTAGATAAGCTATTGTCTGATATATTCTGCCCTTTCATAGCCAACTTCCTAGAAGAAAAAGTCCTTTATATTCTGCCTCTACTTCTTTATTTCCCATTCTTCTCTCAGTCTCTTGCAATCTGGGTTTCATCCCCACCCCTTGACTGAAATTGCTCTCTGCAAGATCACCACCAATCTAACTGCTAAATCTAGTCCTCATCCTTCTTGACTTCTTTGCATCATTTGACCATGTTGACCATGCCCTTCTCCTAGGAACTAGTGATTTCTTGGGTGTTGGCGATGCTGCCTTCCTGGTGCTCCTCCCACTTGTCTGACCACCCTTTGGTGTTTTTTGCTGGATCATCACTGACATCCTCCTCCCTGTGCACAAGGCTGTATTCTAGGACCACTTCTTTGTATACTCTCTTGATAATCTCATCAACTCCCATGACTTTAAGTATCATCCCAATGGAGATGACTCCCAAAGCTATATATTCAGCCTTCATTTTTCTCCTGAGCTCCAGTCCTACATCACTAACTGCCTACTGGACATCTCCACCTGGAGGCTCCATATGTCACTCAAACTCCACATGTCCATAACAGAACTTATTATCTTTTCACCTAAACCCAGCCCTTTCCCTAACATTCCCATATCTGTTTAAGGGTACCACAACCCTGTTAGCCACCTGGCTTTACAACGTTGGGTAATCTTTAACTCTTCACTCTCAAGTCTCGTGGATTCTACCTCCAACACACCTATCAAAACCATCCTTTTCTCTCCATTCACAGCGCCACCATCTGGCTTCAGGTCCTCATCACCTCTCACCTGCACCATTGCAAGAACCTCTTAGTTGGGGTCTCTGCGTCGAGACTCTCTTTTCCAATATATCCTTCACATAGCTATCAAAGGATGAACAACAACAAATTGATATTCCTAAAAACACAAGCATTACCATGTTATTCCCCTGATAAAGCAGTTTTTTGGTGTGCCTTTTCTCCCCCATTTTATTGATTGTTTTGTTTTTACGTTAAAAACATTTACAGATTATGCTCACTTCATGAGAGGTTACCTGTAACAAAGTAAATCAGTTAGGTAAAATTAATAATATAGTGACATTATCTGAAAATTCATGCAACATTCCATATCCATAGCAACAACCCCATCCCCTGCCCCCATCCCTAACTCTCTTAATTAAGCAGTTTTAATTGTCTCTATAATAATTTATTGAATGACTATCTGGTATTTAAATACAATATGGCTCCAACCTATCTTTCCACATTGATTTCACATTAGTTCCCCTTGGTTACTCTTTAAGCCATAGTGATTGAGTGAGCATCAGGTCAAGGGAAGAGATGGATCTTAAGACAGAGATTGTGGTATCTGTGCCTTTTAATCTCGAATGGCATCAAGGGGTGTTAGCAATTCAACAAAAACAAAATTGAGGAGTTGTTTCTTCCTAATACCAGGAAAAATTTCCTCTCTCAAAGGCTAGTGACCTTCTAGTTTCTCACAGCAATTGTTGCTCTCCTTTTTGGATACTCAGTGCAGGGATATCAGCCTTCTAAGCAGTCATTAAAAGCAGTTGTGCAGAAGCACCCACTGGGAATGTGGCACCTTCAAAGTACTGTTAACTCTCATGAGCACAGAGCATGTTAGTGGAAAGAGCACAAGATTGGGACTTCGACTTCAATCCTGGTCCTGGCTCTGTCCTCAGTTGTCATGTGACCACAGGCAAGTCACTGAGAGGCAATGTGGTAGTTCAGGGGTATGCTGGTAAATGTTTAACAACCGACTCACCATGTACCCGTGACCCACTTTTAAATTTAATCTGCATTATTAAATTTCCTTCATCACTTTCTTAAGTCTAGACAATCAACAAAGCTATAAATCAAACCCTCAATGGTAGCAAAGCTATAACTGGCTCCTGCACCCTTGAGTATAAGGGGCTAGTGTACTTGATGTGGGGTCAGGAAGATGTGGTTTTAAATCCTATTTCTGACCCCTAGTATCTGTGCGACCCTGGGCAAGTCATTTAACCTTTAAGGAACTCAGATTTTTTTTATCAATAAATTGGGGCTAATAATACTTGCAGTGCTTACCTCAGAGGTCAAAGGTAAGAATAAATGCAAGTTTTTTTTAATTTTTTTAGGCAATTGGGGTTAAGTGACTTGCCCAGGGTCACACAGCTAGTAAGTGTCAAGTGTTTGGTTTAGAGGCCAGATTTGAACTCAGGTCCTCCTGACTTCAGGGTCCGTGCTCTATCCACTGCACCACCTAGCTGCCCCAAGAATGAATGCAAGTCTTAAAGAGCTAAATGAGTGTCAGCTATTAGGATTCTGAATCACTTTTCTTGCATACAATTTCCTTATTTTTAAAATGAGGAGAATAGGCTAGATCAGTGCTTCCCATGTAGTGATCTGCTCACCCTTTGGAGCTTCTAGACAATGTTCAAAGGGGCTGGTGCTAAAATTTCTTCAATGGTGCCTTGAGCAATAAAAAATCATAAGAAATATTATGAGTAGTATGTTAAATTGTCGCTATTAAAAGGGGGTTGCGGAACAAGAACAACAAAAAGTACTGGGGACCATTGGGCTAGGTCGCCTTCCAGGGCCCCGAGGGCTCTCAGATGCCATCATTTGATGATGACATTGCACTTACCTCACAATGATATTGGAGCCTCCTTTGTGATAGTAGAGGTAGTTGTTATAGACAGCATGACCACAGCCGTGGAAAAGGTACCTGAGGTGGACGGGCCTATAACTGTTGTTCAGAAGGGAGACTTGATCCTTAAATTCTTTCACAATGAAGCCTGTGAAGAGAGAATGCACAGAAAAGGAGGTCAAGGTGTTTACCCACATTGCCTGCAATGGCCACGTGAGCAGTTCAGTTGGAAGATTTAGATTAATAAGGAAGACCAGGGGGTGATAATAGGTAATATTTATATAGTGCTTTACCATATTCCAGGCACTGTGCTAAGTGCTCTGTGATTGTATTTTCATTTCATCCTCACAACAACTCTGAGAGACAGGTATTATTATTATGCTCATTTTACAGGTGAAGAAACTGAGGCAAAGAAAGGTTAAATGACCTGCCTAGAGTCACCCAGCTAATAAGTGTCTGAGGTCACATTTGAACTCAGGTCTTCTTGACTCCAAATCCAGTGGTCTATCCACTGTGTCACTTAGAAAACAGTGAAAACCATTGCATTTGTTTAGATGTAGAAAGCTTAAGTCATCTCTCTGTCAGAGTCAGAGAGGAATGGCAGAAAGAGCTTAGGTTCAAATCTCAGCATTCTCATCTATTACCTCTATGACCTCTAAAACCACTATGTACCTCAGTGTCATATTTCTGTTACATGAGGGGGTTGCATTGGGATCTCTAAACTCCTTCCAGCTCTATTTTGTGATCAGAGGATTTAAAATCTTGAATAGATTGACCAGTCAATGGCCTACGAGGTCCTTCCTCACTCTGAAGTTGTCAGATTTGTTTTATTCTTTTAAAAAAAAATTAAATATTTTATTGAAAACTTAATATGGAACTTCAAACAACTAACTTTACATTACAAATTTCAGTTTATGGAAGATCATAAAAACTTTTCAGTCACTCTCTGTAAGTTCCCATCAGCTAGCTAGCATTAGCTAGGGTTTTAAAGTTTGCAAAGAGCTTTCTCTTTGATCCCATCAGGATTCTTTGTTTATGCACTCTTACTAATTTTTCTTCTTAAATGGTACAGTGGGGAGATGGCTCTCTTCACAGTCAGAAAATGTGAATTTGCATCCCACCCCTGACACTTGCTGACTATGTGACCCCAGGTAATTCTTTCAGACAATTCTCTAAGACTACAAATCGTAGAAGAGTTACTGACCTCCATCGGTAGTGGGAAATTTTTCTCACCAGAAATTCCCTGCACCAATGAAATCCCATATCTCAGTGACAACAACAGAGGGGGTCACCCACCATGTGTTCTCTTTTTTTTAATTTTGCATTTTTTCATAAAAGTCTTATAGATGGATTTATATTCCTCATTCTTGTTATTCTTAACAGCTTTATTATATTCTATTATGTTAATGTGCCACAATTTATTTGACCATGAAAATCTTTAACAGGTAGCTCTTTTTCTGTTTTCTTTCAGGGTATATTCCCCATAATTCCATTGTTGGACAAAGAACATGACGATTTTTATAACTTTTACTGTGTGCTGTCAGATTTCTTTCCAAAATTATTGTACAATGTATACAATGAATGAGTGTACCTATGACTTATTTTAAATCAGTCTATCAGGTAACTTTTTTTTTAACCCACTAGCATTTTTGAAAGTTTACCTAATGTAATTGAGAAAAGAATATTATTCAAAAAAAAAAAAAGAAAGTCTATTTGACTAACAAAAAGACCCCAGGCCTTCATATCTCATCTGATCTCACCCATTTATCCTCTTCCAAGGATCTTTCACCCCTTCCAATTTTTGCCAATGACAAAGACACTCAGAAACCCAAACCCTGCTTGGGTTTCTATATGGACTATATGGACATACATAGAAACTCAGCCAGGACTGTAGAATTTGATCAGCTCATTTTCCTGCAGGTCATCTTCATATTGAAGATGCATCTGAGACTGGGAAGCACTGGTTCAAATCAATCAAGTTTTACAGAACACCTCTTTTGTTCAGAGCACTGTGCTAGGCTAGATACTGTACTATGAGGGAAACTAAGACGTATATGACATGTAGTCCCTAAACTCAAGGGGCTCACTATCTAATTGGGGAAAGAAGGCAAATCCATGTTGAAAAGATAGCTAACAGTACAAGTGGGTGGTAAGTGATAAAAGTGAAGGGCTTGCTCTTGGTGGGGATGGGCTGGTTCAGAGGAAGACAATTGTGAGTTGAAATGCTCAGGAACTCTGAATGAGAGCAGATATAAGCTCATCTTTGAAGAATAAGTAGAAATGACACAGAGAGAAGGGGGAAGGATTCTGGTTGGGTTAAAGAGGATGAGAAAGTTGAGGAAACAGCACAGTTTTAGGTTCGTTCAGGGAACAATGAATAGAGGAGTCTGCTGAGGCAGGGAATACCTATAAAGAAGTCACAGATAGGGTTAGAAAGCAGATGTGGGGTCAGATTATGGAGGTCCCTGAAGGAGGGGGTGGGGAATTTTTACTTTATCCCTGGAACAAAGTTATTAAAGGTTTTGGGGCACCAAGGTTATATAATGAAGGAACATTTTAAGAAGATTGATCTGGCAGCAGCCTGTGGTATTAACTGAAATGAAGAGAAACTAAAAATAGGAAGATCAGTCAGAAAATGAGACATGGAGATATAGCGTAGTGCCAAAGAAAGAACCCTGCGCTTGTAACCAAAGGACTTTAGTCTGAATCTTGACTCTGCCACTTACAATCTGTGTGATGATGGACTAACCTCTTTACATCTTTGGGATCTTTGGGATTCAGTTCCTCATATATAAAATGAAGGGGTTGGTTGTACTGAAATGTCTTTAAGTTCTAAGTCAATGGGTCTTTACTAGGATGTTAACAGTAGAAATGAAAAGGAAGGGACACATTAGAAAGACCTTACCAAGGAAGAACCAATAGGACTCCATTCATTCATTCATTCATTCAACAATATTTTTGAGTTCTTACTTTGTGAAGAATTCTTACTTTGTGCCAGTTGGGTGTGTGTGGTACAAAGAAGACTAAGATAAAGAAGACAAAGGCACACCCTTAGATATTTACAATTTACTTGGGGGAGATAAGATATATATGTGTGTATATATATGTATATATATATATATATGTATGTATATGTATATGTATGTGTATGTGTATGTATATGTATGTATGCATATATATGCGTGTATATCTATCTCTATCTATATATCTATATGCTATACAGATGAGATATGAAGGCCTGGGGTCCTTCTGTCAGTCAAGTAGACTTTCTTTTTTTTGTAATAATATTCTTTTCTCAATTACATCAGGTAAATTTTCAAAAATGCTAGTGGGTTAAAAAAAAGTTACGTGATAGACTGATTTAAAATAAATCATAGGGACACTCATTCATTGTGTACATTGTACAATTATTTGGGAGATATACATAGATATAGATATAGATATAGATATAGATGCTTGGTCTGATATTTAGATGGGTTGCTCTATCATATCTATTCAAATGGTTCATAGAACCACATAACTAACCCCACGCTCTCTTGAGCTCCAGCCCGGCATCACCAGCTGCTTACAGGACATTTCAAACTAGATGTTCCGAAAGACAGCTCCATCTCAGCATATACAAAGCAGAGTCTAATACCTGCCAAACTTCCTTAATTCTGGCTAAGGTACCACCATTCTTCCAATCCCCTGAACTCTTTGACTCCTCACACTTCTTCTTTCCACATAACCGATTAATGAATAGCCCTTGCTGTTTCTACCACTGCAGTGTCTTTGCATATGACCCTTTCTATCCACTCACACACCACCACTTTAATCTTAGCCCTCATAATCTTTCACCTAAACTACTGCAATGACTTCCTAATTGGTCTTCCTGCTTCAAGTCTCTCTACACTCCAGCCCATCCTTCCTAAAGCTCTTGAGTACAGATCTAACTTTGTTATTTTCCTACTAATAAACTCCAAAGTGTCTGTATTTTCCCCAGGATAAAATATGAATTCCCACATTTTAAAGTCTTTCAGAACATGTTCCCAGCTTATCTTTCTCACCTCATTATACATTACTCTTCTTCCCATACTCTATGGTCCAGCCAAACTGCTCTTCTCTCTGTTACTCATACAGAGCCCTTCAGTTCCCATCTCTATGTCTTTGCATTGGACATTTCCCATGCCTGGAATACACTCCCTCCTCTCTTCAGCCCCAGAGCATCACACCCTCTAAGACAAAACTCAGGTGCTACCTTCCATATAAAGCTTTTCCTGATCCCCCAATTCCTAATGCCTTCTTTCCCTAATTATTTTGTAACTATCTTAAATTTATTTTATAATTATTCTTTATATGCTTACATGCATACATGTGACGGTGGGCTGACCAATAGAGGTCCAGTCTTGAGCTTGTGTAATCTGTTCTGCCTTGTATGAACCCGTGTGGTTGCTTGGAGTGCCTGCTTCCAGAAATTTATGACAGTGTGTGAAGGAGGGCCCTGCCCTCTACTTCAGAATATATGTAGGTATTTTGTGACTTTCCTGTCTGTTTACTGCATAATAATAACAAGCATTTTAAATTGGTTGTGGAGTCAGAACTGAATGTTCACACAAAAGGCTACAAAGAAGGAATTCTCTCTTTCCTGATGGCAATCAAGTGAAGACATACTATAAGTTTCTAGGTGGAGAGAGAGGCCTAAGGCCCTTATCTCTACATCTGGACTGCTACATGGTCCATGCATGCATAACTCTGCTATTTCTTCTATGAGGTAGCTGGTGGACCAGTGGATAGAGCACTGGATCTGGAGTCAGGAAGACCTGAGTTCAAATCTAGTCTCAGAAATTTACTAGCTGTGTGACCCTAGACAAGTCACCTAATCTCTGTTTATCTCAGTTTCCTCAACTGTAAAATGGGGGTAATACTACTACCTACCTCGCAGGGCCGTTATGAGGATAAAATGAGAAGATATTTGTAAAAGGCACTTAGCATAGTCCTTGGAACATAGTAGGTGTTATATGAGTACTTACAAAATGATCTTCTGAACTTCTAATGCTGGAAGAGCCAGCAGAGTTTGCCAACAAGCCCAATGAGGAGCGAGCCTTGGTGGGCGACCTATTTAACGCAATTCAGTAGTAGATAAACCTGGGAGCCAAGATGCCATGTTCCACAAACAAGGGTGTCACTCATCTACTGGACCTGGAAATGAACCTGATGAAGGGAGGAATATTCTTAGCAGCTACTTTAAATTTGAGTCTACTCTCCCCAGAGATTGAGGAAGGAGAGGGGAC